GGGCTGTGGGAGGACGGGGATGCGGGGGCTTGGCAGGCTGGGCAGGAACACAAAGGAGAGCCGTGCTGCTCCTGAGACGCCTGTTCTTTGGTAAAGTGAAACAGTATTTACCAGAAAGGAAATACTTCTTCAGCCGGGTGTTTAGGGAAACAAGTATCGTGTTCCTTGATTTCCCGGCTGTCGAGCCAGCTATCACATTACTAAAATATCTAGAGATAAAAATATTTGCAAGGCCAGAGGCCCAGTGTCCTTGTTCAGGCTTGGGTTAAACCAGTATCCGAATCCAAATTTTGTGGTTGGAATCTTTCCCATTCCTTGGTCCTGATCACCTCCTAAGTGGTGTGTGTCCAAAGTCTGCTGCTTCCATCTATGCAGTTGTATCTGTTTCTGACACATTCAATTGGGTACGTTGCAGAACTTTTTGTGTTACACCTGCAAGGAGTACGTAGAAGATCTGGCAAAAGTCCCCAAGGCATTTTTACAAGTAAGTACTCTGCTCTTAATGTGTTTGTGGCCGCAATCAAGCAGATCTGTTATGTCCAGCTACGCACTTACATAAAGCTTCGAGGAATAAAAAAAAAAGGCTCAGAAGAAGCACTTTCATTGTTTGCTACAATAGCAGTAATGAATCTGCCTAGGAGACACAGGAAAGGATTTATGGCACTGCATGCTCTGTTGGAACAGCATTATTTCTCCCTGCCCTATTAGCTTGGTGCTCTTTTTACTGTTGTGCTCAGAACAGTTAGACAACATCTGACAGGCATTTCTTTCAGTGTTAGTAGTGCCCTGGACAGCTGTCTTCTGACTGCTAACTACTGCCCTTCCCACTATGCTAGTAGGGCCAGCTGAAGTGCGCAGAACAAGATCAGAAAATTGATCTGGATTAAAAATAGGATCTTTTTCTATGGTGATATGTAAAGTACATTAGTAGTGTGTCCTGCTCTCCAGGGCAGCTGCACAAACAGGAATGGCAGTGACAGAAAACAGAAGTAGAGTGGGCAAGGATTGCTATCGATATGAGTTTTTTGGGTGGTAGGAGATGCCAGAGAAGACAATGATCTCCTGCTAAATGTGGAAGGTCAATCTGTCTCTTCTAGACTGCTGATTGAAATTCTGCCGTACTTTATTCCCAAAAGCAGCATGGCCAATGACAGAGACTCAGGTCATTGCTGATGGCAACTCCATCTAAGTCCATCTGAGATGGATTAGGAATTATGAGGACAAAAAGGAGCAATTTCTTTGTCAGGTTCCCTTCTCAGGACAGACACTTCTAAACTGTTTGATCAATGTTACTCAAAAGGACATTTTCTTAATTTGGCTCCTCAAATAAATGTATCTAGAGAGTCTGAAATGTCAGTTAAGAATGGGCATTTCTTAATGCAAGGATTCTGATTTTAGGAGGACTTCTTTTCATAACTAGCAAAATTATTTTATATGGGAAAGGCAAATATGTAATAAAACAACCTTATATTTAGGACTGGTTTTAGTGATATCTAAATGAACTTCAATTCTGGGCTCTGTTTTACAGACTCAGGCCTAAGGCTGCATCTGCAAAAAAGAGCAGTGCATATAAATGCAAGTTATATCTATCAATGGGTCCATATATGTAAATCCCAGATGTTTGGGCACCATCATTTTTGTGCTTCTTCTTTGGATGTAGGTGCAATTGAGTGGAAATTTTGAGTTTCCAAAATCATGTCATGGTGCAATTAATTGAAAAGACAATCCTATCAATGCTACAGGAAACTTAAAGATTACACAACTGTAATTTAAAAGTTATATTTAAAAATAATTTTTCACTTAAAAAATTAATGTTGCTGCTAATTGTGCGTGATATACAAAAGTACAGTCTCCAAACATGGAAGTTATGTTAATGTCAAATAATTTTAAGTCAGTGCACTGTGATCACTAACTTGGCACACCAGATTCTGGCAATGTTTTGAAGTCATGTAGGACACCCACTTCCTCTTTACAGCTTCAATACCCATCTTCTGTTCTAGGAATCAAATGTGAGACTTATAGTTATTGGACAGTCATCATATCATCACATCAAGGTAAATAAAGTAGTCATTAAATACAATGAATCCTCTATTATGTCCTCTTTGTCTGTACTGAGGGATTTGGTTTGCATGAAAAGGTAGTCTTTTGCAACAGGAAAAAAGGATAGTGTTCATGAGGCAATTCTAATAGTAATACATGACTAAAGCAAATAATTAAAACTTGCACTTTAAGAGCCACCAGGGGTTGCTAAGGAAACATCCTTTCTTGATTTCACTGGAAGCTTTGTTTTAATAGAAGCTTTGAGGCTAAAAATTTTGTACTTTAACATAACTAACAAATACACAGCTTTCCAATAAGAGGGGGGAACAGAAGCTGACAGGGTGTCAGTATTTTTGCTGTTGTCAGTAAACCCTAGCTAGTTACTGCCTTAACTTTACAAATATTACTTTATTTTTCTGTGTCTGTCTATGTCTATGCCTATATTTTGCAGCCTTTTTGCAGTTTAACAGGATATACACATGAAATGTATGTAGATCCACAAAGAGAAATTTATAAAATACTTGGGATGAAAAGAGGTGAAGGTAATAAAACATCAGGTAAGAATGATTTTCTCACCTTATTTAGACTTTCACAAACAAAACAGAAATGCTCTGATAAAATTGTATGATCACAATGTAAAGAGAAAATGAGTTGCCCACCAGACTGTGTCTCGCAGGCTATATTTTGTGGAAACACTGGTACTCAGGAATCTCTAAAGTATTCATAGCAGCTGTTAATTGTTGTTGCTCTTATATACTTTCATATTTCCACATAACAAGTGTTTTGTGGTTTTGTTTAGTTCGGAGCCCTCATGTGAAATCAAACACTCTTCTGGGAAGTATTAGAAGTATATGGAGAGCAATGACTGGCCCAGCTTTTGATTTTCAAGGAGACCCTGCTCAGCAGGGAGGAGCTTTGATTTTAGGCCCAGGTGAGCTGCTTTGTTTTGTGTGAAAGTCACCACTGTCTCCTTTAGCTGTTTGCTGCCATTACACCTTTTGTCTCTGTGGGTCCCAAGGAGACAGTCTGGTGTTGAACTGTGTGATTTCTGTCGCATGAAGAAATCTGCAGAGTGTCATTGCATAGTCCCATCTCCCACAGAGGTGGCATAAACCTGATCACAGTACCGCAGAAATTGGTTGGATCAGTGATGGAACAACTGCCTCAAAGTCTGGAGGGTTTTCTTGACATTGTGGTATTTACCTACATTCTGCGTTCACATGTGATTTGAGGCATTTAATGTGGTTTTATTAGAGGGGTAGAGCATGAAGGGGGAATTGCAACATGACAGTCACCACATTATTAGGAAACATCCTGCTACAGCAGATTTAAAGTAGTTAAGTGTGTCAATGTTCCTTGCTTCTTTAATACAATTAAAAAACATTTTGTCATTGCTTAAAATACAGAATACGTGCAGTCTACAGAACTAGTACACATTTGTACGGTAACTGGTAGGTAGTCAGAATGCTGCTTTAATACACTTACATCTTTGAATAAATAAATATGTTATTCAATAATTTACATGTTATTCTCATTCCAGGCAACGAAGTTCATTTTTTGCACCTTGATAAAAACAGGCTGGATCATGTTCCCATTAATACAATCTTGCAGCTGGCAGGAGTTAAAACAGTGAATTTCTCAAACAAACCCCGGATTATTGACATATGACACTGAAGCAATGTATACTTTTTTTTATAAATTTGTTCTCTACAAGAACAGTTCTCCGGTGAATTACAACAAGCATTGCTTCTGTTGCTTCTTTGTGGGACATCTGAAACCTTATGTAGAAAATCAGAGCATAGAATAAACTGCCTGACACTAGAGATGGATATAAAAGTGCTATCTCCATTGAGTACAGGGTAATAAAAAACAAAACACAACTCAGACTGATTGCAAAAAATCCTGGAGCTTATCATTGTCTCATCAGACAAACTTGCCAGTGTTTTTTTAAACATCGTTGTTCAAGGTGCACTAAGGTAAAAAAGCCAGATTTTGCTCAGGAAGAACTTGGGATTCCTGCCTTCAGCAGATCAACACTGGCTTTCAATCCAAGACTTTTCAGCACTGTTTTAAAGCTTCCAGCACTGCATGACAATTTTGTATTGAAATACACCTTGAAAAGCTACAGTTTTGAACACCTGGACTTCATTTGCATCTGGCAGTGGCAGAAGTTATGAAACACATTTCACAAATTCAAATAAAAATTTTAAATACATCATCCTGTATTGTCTGCAGTTCTTTTGTGTGATACAAAAACATGGGTCTGTAAGACCAGAGAGGGGTGGTTCTTAAATTTTTATCTGATCAGATTATTGGTTTTGGAGTAAGACGAATTATTTATGTTCCTATGAAGCTTTGCAGCAGGATATTCTTCCTTTGTATGTTCGTATTTTCTCTCAGAGCAAGAGGTCTCAGAATAAATTGTTCTTAGTTATTTCTGTCTTGGACAACTGAAGTAAGCATAACAGCATTCTTTCTGGTTTGCAGTTCTGGCATATTTCATATTATTCATTTATCTACAGATGTTTATGTTCAACATCTATTGGTTTCATTAAAGTAGACGTGCCCTCTTTCATCTAGGATACACTTTCTAGCAATTTGAAAAAAAAAAAAAGTGCAAGATTTATGGATGAGCATATCCTTCTCTGCAGCCTTTGATCTTTGACCCTCACTGTAAAATGTTACCATACATACATCTCTCAACTGCAAATTTTCACCCCTTTTAAGCTTTAATGCAATTGTGAAATGGCATTTTGTGAAGATGTTTGTTCCTGCATTCATTAAGGTCACTGGCAGGCCCAGAGCAAGGTCTGGAAAGCTTTACACCATTAAGAGCATATGAAATTAAGTGCACTGTTCCTTGATAAAAATAAAAGGCTCGCGTAAGAAACACAACAATACTGAACAATGTAATTCTATTAAAGATACTATGTCTCAGCAACTTATTCATTACACCCTTATATTGATACTACATGTTTAGAAGGATTTTATGAATGGCAAAATACAGTTGTCAGTTCCATGCTTTGACTGAACAGCCTTCGGCAATGGGCTAAAGGTAGTCACACGCCGACTCTGAACCCCTGTGGTTTCAGAGGTGTTCCTCAAACTTGGCATAACAGACTGGGACAGACAGCTCAGGCTCTCAGGGGAGTGAAGCCTGCTTTTCATGAACCACTGTTCCTACAGTCTCAAATAAGGAGCTGCCTCCTCCCTCCAGCAGTCCCCCAGCTCAACAATATTTTTCAGCATGCCAAGAACTCTGGAATGCATCTGCCTCTTTGCCTCATGTTACTTAAACAGCCAAAAGCAGGCTGGAAAACTGGTCATGTGTTTGTAAAACAGAGACAATGAACAAATAAAAATTATTTTCAAAGACAATGAATGATGAATAGTCAGTTGATTTGTAGTGCTTCCACTCTGCTTCATTAACCTGATAATCACAGTTAAGGGCACTGATTCTTGTTCCACTTTTATTTTGCAGTTGTTCTTGGTGCTTTTGATTTTAAAGGAAACGTTCTAGCTGCCTTCCTGCTTCTTTTGCTTTTAGTAAAATTAAAAGAATATACAACGGTAATAGTTCTGTTGGTCCTAATAAACACATTTTTAAAAATTAACTACAGCTAAAAGAATTGTGGACGATTAAAATATATTGTGGTTAATTAAACTGTAGTTTTACAGCTCTTTAGGTAGAAGTAATCTACCCTTATTATTTCAATACTGAAAGGAACCATATCACAACCTCTGTGTTATCCCAGCAAAATCACTTCTTCAGAAAGACTCACAAACTGCAGACGAAAAAAAGGAGAGAGGAAGAGAGAGGAGGATTCAGCAGAAGAGCTGAAGTGTCCTAATCAGGGCATTGGCCCTGCCTTCTGCATCTGGCCACAGCTTGAGACAGTTTGCTTGACCCCTGCGGGACAATGACTCTCACATTCATAATGAATTGGAACAACGACGGCCACAGTCACCCTTGGGAGAATTTGTTTCCGAAGTGTCAGAAGAATTTTAGGTGACTGGTGTCATTTAGAAAGGATATTTTTTAAAAAGTCATGCAGCGAATAAGCGGCTACTAGAATGTTTCCAGCAGGTTTTCCTCCGTAAGTACGCACACTCAGCGATGGTAGAATACTCCCTCCAGGGCTTTCATCATGGCCATTAGACGGAGGTGGGAAGGGAGTGGTTCTCAGAAGCTGTTTTACCTACCGGCTTGGTGTAGTGCTACGGCCATTTAAAATAACTGCATATTGTAAAGTATCGCTGTATCTAACAGGCAGATTCAAACACAGTTATTTAAACTTTCCAGATCAGCCCATTTAACGCTCAGACCAGCAGCCTGCATGCACTGGACTGTTTTGAGCTGGCTTTACAAAGTACCGAGCGCTCGGGCTCCTCTCTCGGTACGAGTCAGGAGGGGCACCTAGCGGGCTGCGAGGCCGCGGGGCAGGAGCGGGG